GGTCACAAACTCAAATGGCTGGCACACCACGCTCGTGGGCGCCACAAGGGCTGTAATGAGCATCCCTAGATCTCTCAGCGAAACAGGACAGATGCCCAACCAGTTGCTGAAAAGGCGGAAGCCGGCTGCTGGCTCTTTAGGAGTGAGAGAATTTTGCCCTGGAGTCTTCCCAAAGACATCCCTGACACACAGCCTTCCTGGAGGACCACCCAGGATTCGAACCCACGGCCCCCAACCCTATGTTTTCCCCAGTGCATGGTCTGCTCCTGCACCTCCGAGGTGTGATGACTGTGACATTACTCTGTACATAAACATGCAGAGAAAAGTCTAGAAGGACACATGTGCATGTACCCTGGTGGGCAGTGGACAAACTCACTCAGGGAGGCAGACCTCTCATAGGAAAGCCAGGATGCCTGCCTTGTGACAGCACCAGACCTGGGGGCTGCCCCCCCCCCCCACCTCTTTGAGCGTTTCTGACTCACCAGATGTTTCCATAGTGGTGATTTGGTGGAACTAGTCGTTGAAAACTGCTCGCGCTGTCCTTCTCCAGTAGCTGTCTCCTGATTAATTCACAGCACGCACTTGCTCTGTGCCTCCACTAAACAGAGAACACATCCACATAAACATGTAAAAGAGTGCTCGGAGAATCGACTTTCCTGACAGTCGGCAAATAGTAGCCTGCCAGCCTGCAATTGGATGATTGAAGCTGAGCTCCTGTGGTGTAACACTGGCTTAGTGGTTCTCATTCGAAATTGCTACAGAAACTTCCAGAGCAGTGGCTGGGCGAACTAGAAATTTTGTTAGAGCTCAGTAACTTCAGGGGGGCCAAGGGAGGATATAAGTATAGACAGACACCTCCTGGGTCTCGGACCCCACATCCCAAGAGCAGAGGAGAAGCCAAAGCAAGATGGAAAATGATCTGGCCTCCATCTTGCTGATTAGGTTTGTTTCCAGAGCACAGTTGGAGGGCAGAGCTGACCCAGGAGAAAAGTCTCCTTGTTTGCTCATTGATTAATTCCAGAGTAGTTGTTAAGTACCTACTTAGTGTCAAGGACCTGCTGAGCCCGGGGGCAAGATGCCTCTGCGGTCTTGGAGCTAAACTTGGAGTGGGGGAGATAATGGCTGCATTAAAAAATCAACAGGAAGTTTTGGAGGCCAGAAGGAACTGAAGCAGAGCAATGTGGTGGAGAGGGTGGCCGAGACCCCTCTGATGACAAAAAGGAGCCACACTTGCAGGTATCCAAGCAGAACATTCCAGCAAGCACTCGGGTCTTGAGCTCGGCAAGATCAAGGCGCAGCAGGCTGTGGGCCAGGCAGCCCCTGATTCATGGCGGCTGGGTGGAGGCCAATGGCTTGGAGGCCCTCGGCCACAACTGGATCTGAGCAGATATTCAGGAAAAACTAGAGAAAATATACACCCCCCCCCCCCATCTTTGTATTCGGATTCAGAGCATTTTAGAGGAGGCAGGACAACTGGCTTTGGCAGGAATTACAGTTCCTTGGATTACGCAAAGAAAAAAAGGAGCCCTGAGTGACAAGAAAAAGGCCTCAGGAGAATAACGGAAAGTGCAGAGCTCACTGGAGCGGTCAGGGCTGCAAAGGCCAGTGAGTGCTGGCGAAAGGAGCAGAGGTCCTGCAGAGCCGTTCTGTGCTGCTTGTGCAGACTGGCACGAGAGCACGGACAAACAGAGACCTTAGAAGCAACGAGAGGGAGGGCAGACACCAAGCGGCCGTGTGGTGCGAGTGGGGGCCAGAGAGATGCAGGGCCGGCCGGTGTGGGCCTCCGTGGCCACTGCCCGTATTCTCAGAGTAGTGGGGAATCCGTGTAGTGGGGGTGCAGCCGTGACCTCATGAGTTGCTTTTGAAGTCTGACTGCTGGGGAGTGAATGAGGTATGTGTGTTGGGGGGCGGGCGGGTGTTGGCGGTCCAGGGGTGACACTGAGGCGGGGGAGCAGAGAGCCCGATGAGGAGGCAGGTTGCTGTCTGGAGAGGGATGAGAGAGGGTGGCCTGGGCCCGGAGGCAGGCTCACCTTCCCAGGGAACCTGTCGGATTCAGGAGGGGGAGGACCAGAGCCAGGACCTCTGACGGGCCGGACATGGCGTGAGCACGAGGAATCAGGGAGGCCCCTGGAGCCTGGGCGGCAGAGTGAAGTGGGACTATTTTTTTTTTAACATTAAAAAATATTTATTTATATATATTTTACATCATTGTTCATTTTTTTTGGTAACTTCTGTCTTTTAATAATAGTTTTTTAATAATCATTTTTTTTAATAATCATTTTGTACCTTTTTCCATCTCAGTTGTAATCCCCGTGGGTTTCCCATCACCAAATCACCCTGTGCCATCACCATGGTCTAGTGCACTTCCCTCCCCCAACCGTTTTTGATCCCATTCCCCACTCCACCCCCGCGACAAGTCTCTGGTATATAGTTGTTCATTATTATTATTTTCTCCCCTGGTCATTTATACTCCTGCTATAACTGAAATCATCCAGTATTTTTCCTTTTCATTCTGGCTTATTTCACTAAGCATGATCCCTTCCAGCTCCATCCATATTGCTGCAAAAGGCATGCGTTTTTTTTTTATTGCTAAGTAATATTCCATTGTGTATATATACCCCAAGTGGGACCATTTTTAAGGTGGGAGTAGACTAGGTTTGGGGAAATGAGTTACGAATTGTGTCTGGGGCCCTCCCTGGTGGCTCAGCGGGTTAAAGCTCAGCACTATGAAGCTGGCGCAGCCACTGCAGCATGAGTTTGATCCCCAGCCAGGGAGCTGACCCACATGGTCCTGACCCTCCTGCTGCTCCCCTCAGCAGTGTACTTTGTCCATCTGCTTGTTCTACTCCCTGCTCTGTCTCTGGTGAATCTTCTCACCGCCCCTGCACCTCTGACCTGCACCCCAGTTTTATATACATAAACAAGCAAATCTTAAAAAAAAAAAAAAAAGAATTGTGTCTGGGTTGAGGATTACAGTGCCTTGGTGCCTGCCAGGTATGTCACCTCTGGATGGGTGTGAACCTGTGCCTCTAAATCATATCCAGTATGGTAAACCAACGCTATCTCGATAACAATAACACGATAAAATTAAAAAAATAAATTAACAGGGGGTTGGGGAGGGAAGTGCACAGGATTATGGTGATGGCACATGGGTGACTTGGTGATGGGAAACCCGCAGGGATTACAATTGAGATGGAAAAAAAACGTACAAAATGATGTAAAAATAAACTGTTATAAAATTTTAAAAAAAATTAAAAATAAATAAATAAACAAAACTCCGTTGGGATATTAAGGTTGTCAATGCCTGTGAGCTACCCGAGAGATGACTGCTCACGAGTGCTTGTGGCGAGGTCTGGGCTGGGGTTCAGGAAATCAGGCTCACTCTACATCATGGTGGTCTTTAGCGTCTGGGCCCTGAGAACCCTAAGTAAGCAGGCAGGGAGATCAGGAGCCAGGGGCCAGCCTGGGGCCGCCCGGCGGGGACACGCCAGGCCCAGGCCAGCACAGGGCCCAGGCGGAAACCCAGCTGCCCTCTGGGGCCCGAGAACTTCCCTGCGGTTGGGGCCTCCCGGGCCCTCACGTGCATGGCCAAAGCAGGGTGCTGTTGGGGGAGGAAAGAGGACCCCGTGTGAGTACATACAGGGCAGCCTCTCGGTGTCCTGATGGACCAGCACCCCCCAGACCAGCACCCTTGCCCCCCAGTTAGGGAGGCTCTTGGCTGGAGGCGGTGGGGGAGCACTTGGACATGGTGGCCAAGGAGAGGGGCTGGGGGGAGGGGCGGCGCAGAGTTCACCCCCCGCGGCTGCGGGCACCTCCTGCAGGGAGTGGGCCTCAGCTCACACTGATATGCAGCAACAGGGAGCCGAGGAGTGGCTGCCTGGGGTGGGAAAAGAGGGGGCGGTGGGGTGCAGGGACACTCGCGGGCGATGGATATGCTCACTGTCCTGATTGTGGAGCTGGTTTCCCGGGCCCCTGGCGGCCCAGGGACCCAGTGACAGACCTTAATAAGCGTGTCGTTTACTCGAGGGCGCGAGTTCCTGGGGCCGCTGCTCTGTGAGAGCGTGTGGCCTTGGAGGGATGGGCAGTGGCAAGAGGAGGTGTGCTTTGATTTTACCCATGATTCCTGCCTGATGCAGGGGTGCGTATGTTGGGGAGCTTGGGGGAAGCAGCCTTTGACGGTTGCTGAGTGTCAGCTGGGCCTTCAGAGTTCATCCCATCAGCCTCGGCCTCAAGCCCAGCAGCCCAAGAATCATCTGAAGAACCTGTTGCCTGGCAGCACCCTACCACAGCCCCTGGGCTCCCAACCTATAGCTGATGAGGGGCCACACGGTGGGGGGACGGGGCTGCCGGAGCACCAGCTCTGGGCTTCCAAGCTCTCTGCCTTCCACTCGGGCCTTTTCCCAAAGCCCCCAAGACAGCTTGTGCACCCCCAGCAGCAAACTTCACCAGGGAGGAGAGGACACATGGCTTGTTCTGCAGGTCTGGGGGCCTCTCAGGCATGTTACCCTCCACACTCTGGGGTTCTCCTGCCATCTCCTCGCGGGGGCATCTGCCCTCAGAGCAGCCGACATGAGGCCGAGGAGCTGCTTTCTGTGTGAGTGTCAGACCCCTGAGGCAGAGGCCCGGAGCTGTCCTTGTAAGAAAGATGCTGTTGCAGTGAGGACAGGAGATTTCACAGAGGGAAGTGGCGGAGCCAGGGAGGTGGAAGGAGCGGGAGACAGGAAGCAGGGAGGCCAATTAGCAGGCTATTACCGGCACCCCAGCAGGAGGTAACGATGAGGCCACCGGTGATGGCCGCTCTCTCTGTGAAAGCCCTTTGATTTATGGAGTGTGTAACCGTCGCAGACATGAGCCTGAGTCTCATGTAACACCCCATACGGTAGTTGGGTGAGGCTCACGTTTGTAGCACCCCACGTTTGCCCTTTTCACCCTCTGTTCCGAAACTGGATATGGCAGCCTGACGCCACGCATCTTCATTTTGTTCAATTTTGTGTTTTCAGGATCTCGACATCGGTGCCAAGAACGTGAAGCTTTATGTCAATGAAAACCTCATCTTCGATGGCAAGTTAGACAAAGGAGGCGGAGAGGCCCCGGCTGCCCAGAGCATTCTGCTTGGCCTGAGGAACGAGGATGAAAGAATGGCAAGCTCTGCTCACACCCACTCGGAGCAAAGCAGAGATGCCCGCAGGGGGCCTGGCACAGGCGGGGACAGGGAGCCGGGCCTCAGCTGCCCACCGCCAGCTGCAGCAGCGCTGGACGTGGCCTCTTCTCAAGGACAGTTCTCTGGCCAAAGGATGAACTCTCCTGATTGCGAGGATGACAGCTTGTCCAAGTTAGAGGGAGAGCTCGGCGTGGCAGCTGCCCCGGCCTCTGAGGGGGGCCTGTCCCCTGCGCCTGCGCCTTCTCCACCAGCGGAATGCCCCGTCCCCGCCCTGATCCCACAGCTGGAAAACCCCACGGGCAGAAAAGTGTCAGAAGCGCCAGGGAAAACCCCTTCCTGGTTGCAACCTTCTCCCGTGGGGAGAGGCAGGAAGCCAAAACCCCTCTGGCTAAGTCCTGAGAAGCCACTGGACTGGAAAGGCAGGCTGCCCTCAGCGGACATCGTGGCTGAGGGCAGTGGAGAGACTGAGGCTGAGGTGGGGGACAGAGGCCCCCGGCGAGAGCAGGGACAGGCAAGCAGCTGGAATGCCGGGGCTGGCGAGAGAGCCCAGAGAGCGGCCCCCAAAGTCTGCAGTGACGACTTGGATATCTTTGACCGACCCCCCAACAGGGAGCACCCTGCTAGTGGGAGAAGGGGCCCTAGGAAGGACGCGCTCAGCAGCTGTCATGGCGCCAGCCAGCCAGCCAGCACAGGTAAGCCTGAGCGGCACCCTGGCCCCAGCGCCTCCGTGCCTGCTCCAGCCACTTAGCTTCTTGGACCTCAGTTTTTTCATCTGCAAAATAAGGGCGGTCATGTCAGCCAGGGGATCACAAATTTGTTGCCACAGAGGCGACATCAGTGAGTGAAATGCTCAAGAGACTTTGCATGTGAAACACATGGGCATATTTGCGTGGTCGCAAGGTCGGTCCCTTTGCCTGTTTGTCTTGCTGTATATGGCTTTTCCAATCTAGACTTCATTGTTGCACCTTTGATAGCGACACTGCTCTCTGAACTTTTATTCTGAACTACTAGAAAAGGTGCACGAGTCTGATGATGAATAGCAACTGACACTTGCCTGGGTGTAGAGACGTGCTATAGGGAGTGGTGAGGACTATGGCAAACGAGCGCTCAGACTCACTCGAGGGCACAGCTGCCTCTCTACTCATTCAGGGGTGCCAGGTCTATTTTGCCACTTATCAAGTCAGGAGTGCAGAATATTCTTATTTTTTTGACATTGGTAACTCACTGAGTTTACTTTTAAATCACTGTGTGCTTCAAAAAAAATTTAAAAATATACATCTGCTAGCAGGCTGACTCACCTGCTCTTTGAACTTTGCAGTAGATTAACGCTCAGGGCTCCGAAAGGGGGGCGGTATCAGTGGCTGGTTTTCCGAATATTTACATTCAGATTTGGCCCCTGGAAACGATACAGCCTCACTACTAGGAGTCAAACCGACGTTGGTGTGGAGAGCTGTTGGGTTCAGGGAGCAGCGTTCTTGAGTTACCTTGGAGAGAAGTTTCATTTGAGCGCCCTTCTCCATGGTATACAGCAAGTTTCCCCATGAGACAGACGTTTCGTTATACCCGGAAAGACAGGTTTATTATAAAAAGGGGGCAAGAAGCCAAGGATGCTTGCATAGACACGGGCGGGCAGGAAGAGCTGCCCCTGACAGGGACAGGTGTGCTACGGGACCTCTCATAGCCTGGGGAGAGGCCTAGCTGCTGCCCTGCAGGGGGACACTGGGGAAGAGAAAGACCCGCCCAGTCGGGCGGGCATGGGGGACGCGCCTGGCCAGTGCAGAAATTGCACTTTTTTCTTTTTCTCTTCTGGAGAGGTTCATTCCTTTGTGGAACTGTTAACTCATTAAATTCATTATCTCTAGGGTTGGTGCCCAAGGACTTTTTCTGTATTTGGCTTGACTAGTTAGATTGGAAAAGACCAGTGTTTTTTTGTTGTTGTTGTTTTGTTTTTTTTACAGTGGTCCCCAGTCTCCAGATGCTCACCTCCAGCTGCCTCTGGAAACTTGACTTTTCTGTAGTTTGTTTCATGACTGTGTCAAACATGCCTACCCCTACCTCCAGTATCTGGTCCTGAGATGCTTCCTTCCAAAATTTTCTATTCTTCTGCTCCATCAGAACCATTTGAATCTAAACTCTGCCGCTTATAGATCTGAGACTTCCTGTGGGGGGTCGGGGGAGCGTTCCACTTTCTGAACCTTGGCATCTTCTGCTATAACATGAGCACAAACCTCCCACTTCTCAGTGTGGCGAGGAATGAGTGAGGTGATGGCTTCAAAATAGTAAGACATCTGGCGTGTGCCAAGCGCCTCGCAAGTAGCCACTATGTCAACACGGTGGCACGTCCCTTATCATCCACGGAGCCCTGGGACCTGCCAAGCTGTGCTGTCCACGCATTCCTCTGAATTTAATGCCAGGCCGTGGGGCACAGAAGGGCAAGCCCACACTATCTGCGCCTGTATCAGGTTCCACTCCCAGCCACAGCGGGGCTATACCTGAAATCCCTCCAGGCCTCAGTTGCCTTGTCTGTAAAGTGATGCCAGTAATACCCATCTCAGGGGGCATGGGGAGGATCAAAGGAAGCCAGACAGGTGCAGTGGGCAGCTCTGGCCTGCAGGAGTACCCTACAGATGTAGGGTTAGCTGCGGCTGAATATTATCAGTATCATGGCCATCACCATCACGCCCCAGTCCGCGACTCTGCCTTTGAGAGTGTATCTGCAAAACCAAGGCATGTATTTTGCCATGCACTGAATCAGCATCAATGCCATTATTGTCTAGTGGACAAGCCAGGCTCTGGTATGGGTGTGTGACTCGAAGGAGCCTGCTTAATCCTCACACCAGCCTCCTGGTACAAATAAAGAAAATGTGAGGTTGAAGTAACTTTCCTCGAGTCACACAGCCAGTAGATGTTGAGCAGGATTTGAACCCAGGTCCCACTCCTGATGCAGGCCCACAGGACGCGGGCCTGCACCTGCAGCCATCATCAGCCACCTGGGAGAGTCAGGACTTGCAGGCCGTCCTGCTCAACAGGCCCACAGAACCTGCGGGAGTGTCGAAGACACGAGCATTATTCTAACTTGTTCACGTTCAGAAGACTTGTCTCACTTTAATTTCTTGCCAGGCATTTCACTGGTTGGCTCAATGCCACATTAAGTACCAAGCCCTTGAGATTTAATGCTTGTTAAGCTGGTCATGCTCAAAAGGAATGCTGCTTAGAAATCTTAAATTGCCCATTACATAGAGCCAAAGCCCATAGTCATGGCCTCCAGGTAGGCCGAGCTACCGCCTGTACAATGGCGGCCACGCGGGCTTTTCCTGGGACCGGGCTGGTCTGACCATTGCCCAGAGAGCCGGGATATCCTGTCCGTCAGAGCATCTCATTAGAACATCTGCGCGTGCAGGCTAGTGTCTTCATCGGGGTCCGTTGGCTACCGGTGAATGAAGTCTCTCAGTCCAGTGCAAACTGCAGCGAGTGGTGCTGAAGAATCCTTCCGGAACTCCTCAACCGCCAAAGGCAGGCAGTGTAGCTGCTCCCCAGGGCTGGGGCGAGGGTCTCCAAAGCTGGCGGATCCAGAGAAGCCCCTCCTAGAGCCCAGGCTCAGGGCGGTCCCTTCCTCTGCTCCCTGCAGATGCACTCGCCCTCCTCTCCCCCATGAGGTCCGCTGCCCGTGCCATCCACGCCGCAGGACAAGGTCCTGCAGCCGGACAGTGCCGGTGTCCTAGCTGCTCCCTGGCAGCCATTTCCAACGTCCCTGGAGAGATTCTGACGGGCCGACTTGGGCCGCGTGTCCAGCCGTCCCTCAGCAATGGCTGAAGGCAGTTCACCGAGTAAACCTGGCTCTGCTCTTCTTCACCACGTATCTTCCCATTTCCGGTTCCACTGGCATTTAACGCACACCTCCTGGTGGGGCCCTTGACTTTCAGACCTCAAGTTCGGACCTCTAGTTCGCATGCGCCTCCACCCAGGAGTAGCTGTGAACCTTCGATCCGTCCTCTCCTATCAGTGTGCAGCCTGCACGCAGTAGGTTGCAGACTGAGCGTGCTGTTGCCCTTCCGAGGCGTGCTTGGGAAACACAGGGCAGAACCCTGGTCCCACTCACTCCCTCCCAGCCTAGGGCTAGCAAACAGTGTGCTCTTGTGCAGACAGAGGGCACGTGGGCCCCCTGCCCGTTGTCCCAGCTAAGCCGTCCAAGAGACCTTTGCCTCTCTGCTTTTAAAACTTGAAGAGTGCCACTCGGGAAGAGTCAGTCAGAAAGAGACGCCGAATGACAGCAGAGCCCTGCCCTGTGTGTATCCCGGGCCTGGCCCGTGCTGCTGGTGCGGTCTGCTTGGGGCTCTCGCAGAGCAAACCAGGCTGTTCATTTCAGTCAGTGGGAATCAGAGCACAGTCAACTGACGCTGTGACGATCCATATGGGAAGTTCCCTCTGCCAGATGTTAGGCCTCATGCCTGGAGGGAAGCATGGGAAGAGCTCCTGGAATCGCTTTCAATGGCAGGTGAGGAGGAGGGGAGGGAGGAGAGGACAGATGCGAAAGAAGCAACAGGTGGAACTGGGAAGTCCCTCTGTCTCTAGACCTGAGCACAGAGGTGCATCGTGGGGTGCCATCACCCCCCCTTCACTGAAACACACTGACCCAGCACTTCCGTAAGCCAGATCCCGTAGCAGGCACCAGGACACAGGAGGGAACGGGGCAGAGAGGGCCTCTCCAAGGGGGAGGGGTCAGGGAGAGCCAGCTAAGTGGGGACCTGGGGGAGAGCCCCCTGGCAGAGGACACAGGACAAAGGCCCTGAGGTAGAGAGAGTCCGCCCTGAAGCAGGATGGCTGCAGGGGAGAGGTAGGTGTAGTTCGGTGAGGCGCAGGGAACTGGTGAGGAATTTGATTGTCACTTTTCTCAGCATAGCAGAGACTCTGCCTGTTGGGGGGGTTGACGGTAAACTCCATTCTCAGCATCTGAAGTTGGAGGTGGGAGAGTGGACAGGTCTGGACCTTCCTAAAGATCATTGGACTTAGGGCAGAGAAGCCAGAACTTGACACCGAAAATTGAGCAGTGCCTTCCTGGAAGCCAGGCGCTGCATGAGGGCAGCATTGGGAAAGGCCCGGGTGGAGCTGAGGCCTTGGGGTGCTCACACTCGGGGTGTGGAGAGACGGGAAGGCTGGTGTGGTAGAGAAGAGCTGTGAGCAGGGCCGTGGAGAACCAGGCAGGCACACTGTCTTAGAAGTAGGGGGGCAAGAAAACTCCCCTGGAAGAGGCTTGCTGGGATGTCACGATGAGGACTGAGCACCAGTTACGTGCTTGGAGTCCCTGTGTCCTTGGCGGAGTTGCTTCCCTGGAGGGCTGCGGGAACCGGAGGCTCTTAAGGATGCAAGGGCATGAAGCCCGCGGGGTTTGATTCAGGCATGGCTGGATCCAGGGGCTCTCTCCCCTCTTTACCTATGCTTCTCTCCCCATGTTGGCTTCACTGTCAGGGGAGCCCCCACCCCCCGCAACACACAGTGCAACAGAATGGCCTCCGTGATCGCCATAGCTACTTCCTGCCAGTCTGAAGAGAGCCCCTCCCTCTAGGGGTCCCTTCTGAGCCCGGAGAGCCCCTCCCTCTAGGGGTCCCTTCTGAGCCCGGAGAGCCCCTCCCTCTAGGGGTC